TCTTAATCAATTCCTTTTAGATCAATTGCACATTTACAATAATAATATATTTGTATAGATAACAAGTGATGAGAATATATACTTATTATATGTGACGTGTTACCCATCTATATACGCTGATGCGTATAATTATTTTTGAGGCTTTTGATAAAATATTTGAGGAAATGAGAGAAAATGAAGAATTGGTGTTGAATTATATGCCACTATGAAAAGGCCACGCCAATTAAATAAAAAGAAAAGTATTACTATTATATGTGATTTTTAAATAAATAAATATTATTTATTAATACATGCATACCTTCATGTAGTCAGTCAATTAAAGAATTCATTATTAAATTTTATCGAAAATAAAAAACTTGGTGATTGATATTTATTATTAAGATCCATATACTGTACACACATATCATTATGCAAGTTTAATTGCCCATTATAATTAAAATTTACATTTTTATTTTATAAAGATAATCAACTTATATTGTTACATTCATATTCATTATAGTTATAATTGAAAGTTCACTTTATATTAAAAAAACAAAATTTAATTTAAAATGTAATTTACATCTATGTACTGTATATAATACAAACAAACATTATTATTATTTAAAGAATTGAAATAAAAAAGCCGTTATTTAAATATTGGTGGCCGGTTTTGTTTATTACGTTGTATTCTTATGAATAACCAATCTATTGCTTCTCTTACCCCGATTCTACAATAATCAAGAAATTAATAATATTATAATAAAATAACAACAACAATAATATTCACCCATCAATGATAATTAATTAATTAAATTACCCTTCTAAAGCAGAAATTGGTAAAACTCTTGAATCTCTTGCTCCTAATTTTAAAGCAATTTTATTGAAAATTTCTTTAATTTCCTCAACTTTAAGAGCATTAGGTATATCTTGTTTATTGGCCAGCATTAATACTGGCACACCTTCTACTTCATCATTTGTAATTATTTTTTCTAATTATTAAAAGAAGAAGAATTTATTAATATTTTTTTTCCCTATTTTTTTATTTTTTACTATAATTTTTTACATAATATAATAATAATAACAATAATAACTACCAAATATTTCTTTACATCGTTCAATTCTTTTTTTGTCAATTGAATCCACTACAAATATAATACCATGACATTCACTGTAATATTTTTCCCATATGTTGTGAAGTTCTTCTTGTCCCCCTAAATCCCAAAAAATTAATCTTGATCTATTTATATCAATTTTTCCAACTAAATAAATATTTTAGTTTTGTAAAGAATTAATAACAAATAAATTAAAATAGTATATCCATAGTGTTAATGACTTACTATTTAAACCAACAGTTGGTGCAATTTTGTCCGGCGATAAACCAGTGACTCCAAGAAATAACGATTTAACACGTTCTAAAAGTGTCTTATTCAACAACAAACAATAATTTATCAACGATTAAAAAATTACATTTTAAATCTCTAGTTTTTTTTCCCTTGTATAAATAATATTCGTTTCTAAATATTTGTCAATTTACCGTTTTACCAGCATTATCAAGTCCTAATATAATCACATAGTACTCTTCTCTCCTTGTAAGATATTGGTGTAAACCACTAAACAAAGTATACATTATTATTATTTATTATTATGTTTTATTTTATTTCAAAAAATTGACATTTATTATTAATTAATTAATTAATCAAATTATGAGCAAAATTCGTGTAACTTCCACAGGTTGTATTAAAAATTAATATTTGTTCACTGTAATTACAAAACCGTGATTTTGATGGCATAATGCCAGGCAATAAGCTAATACTGAAATCAACGAATTTACTTTGTAAAAAAGGATGAGTGTGAATAGAAAAAAACTAAATTATTAATTTATGTACGAATTGGTGATTTTTAAGATAATCGGTTGTAATTACATTTAGCATAATAGACATAGTAATAGCAAAGTGCGATTTTTTTATAAATTGTATTCGGGATTGGTAAATTTGATGATTGGCTATGACACTAAAGGATAGTAACAAACCCAAATTTACTGGCTTTGTGTTTGGAACGCAAACACCAATGACAGCAGAAATTCTTGAAAAAGAAAACGCTTATTTTCTTGCTGTAAATCTAAAAAATTAAAATAATTTTCATGTGATTAACATAAAGATTATAGTTGTAGATCGTAGATTTCCCAATAAAATATAAAATTTAAGAAAAAAAATGGTATCTTCCTCCTCTTCACAAAAAATTCCTTTACCTAATTCCAAAATGTCTTTTGATAGTAAACTTATCGAAATAATTCATGGTAAAAAAAAAAAATTATAATTATTTTTTGCTTAAATAAAAAAAAATCACGTATATAGTTTTTTTAAAATCATTAATTATTTATTCAATTAATATAATGCATATATGTATATAATGACAACAGATAATAAATTTGCAGCACCACTTCTTACCAGTTTTGCTGTTATTGGTGCTTTGTTTTTTTCTTTGAAGTCTTTAAGTTTTTTACGAATGTTATATGATGTTTATGTTCGACCTGGAAAAAGCGTAAATAATAAACTTCTTTAATGGATATTTTGTTTTTGATGGAAAATTAAAATCGATTATTTAAAATTAAATTATTTAGTTAAAGCATTTTGGAGCAGGAAAAGATACTTGGGCTGGTAAAAATTAATAATAAATTATTCTATGGATTATAAAAACATATATATAAATAAATTGATTTAATCTATCATTTTATAGTTATAACTGGTGCATCTGATGGAATTGGGAAAGAATTTGCTTTACAACTTGCAGAAGCTAAGTTTAATGTTTTATTAATTTCAAGAACCTTATCAAAATTACAAGATCTATCAAGTGAAATTGGTTTGTGTTTTCCAATAAATTTTATCTATTTTTATTATTATTTTGAAATTAAATACAATTTTTTAATTTTCTATTAGAAAGTAAATACAATGTTAAAAGTAAAGTATATCCAATGAATTTTGCCAGAGGTGATCCAAAAGATTATGAAAACTTGAAAAATATTATTAAAGAGTTTGATGTTGGAGTTTTAATTAATAATGTTGGTACAAATCATGATATTCCTACACCTTTTACTCTGGAATCTGATGAAGTAATTCATGACATTGTTGAAGTGAATATTGCTTCACTTTTAAAAATCACTAAAATTGTTTTACCACAAATGTTACCAAAGTAAGTTTTTTTCTTACAAGAGAGAGAATGTACGTGTTTGTGTTTATGTGAATGCACGCATATATTTACACTCTGATTTATTAATATATTATTACATATGTTTACTTACTTCAATTAAAGCAATAAAGGACTTATCATTAATATCGGTTCATTTTCTGGGATGATTGCCACACCATATTTATCAGTATATTCTGGTTCTAAGTCCTTCATGAATACATGGTCACAAGCATTAGGTACTGAACTTAAATCTAAAGGCATCATTGTGGAAAATGTAAACACATATTTCGTGGTCTCAGCTATGTCCAAAATAAGAAGATCATCGTTCTTGGTTCCATTGCCTAAACCTTACGTTAAATCTGTTTTATCAAAAATTGGTGTTGCTGGTGGAGCTTCTTATGTTCCATTCAACACTAATGTTTTTCCATCACACGCTTTGGCAAATTGGTTAATTACCAATACGTTTAGTTGGAGTTTTTGGGTTAAAAAAGGATTAGGTAAATAAACAAATAAATTATTATGACAAGTATATGCATAGATAGATCGAGTATTGATTAATAATTTTAAATAACTTTTAATTATTAGCACAACAAGAAGATATTAGAAAGCGCGCGTTAAGAAAAAGAGAGCGTGAGGCTGCAACAACTAAATCACAATAACTATACATATACTTTTCATTAATTAATTCGCTAAATCAAACCAATAAAAATTTATTCATCAATTAATTGTTAATAATGAATTTATTATATGGAGCATACTGCAAAAACCAGACGAAGTAAACATTAATGGCGATTAAATAAAACTTGGCAAATTAGTCAAATCATGGTGATATCATGATATTGACGAATTTATAATGTTACTTTATATTTGTTTCATGCTTCGTGTTTTTACACATTTTCATTTGATCGAATGTTCCTTCTGCCTTTGGGCACAAAATTAACATAGACAAACCCGAGTGAAGGCACCAAAAATCAATAGTAACATTTAAGAAATAATGATGTGACCTATGGATGATCGGCTCAGATATCTGTAAAACAATTCGGTCGTATGGATGGGCTTTTTTAAAAAAGCATCAGATTACGGATGGAAATTTTAGAGATTACTACTATTGTTCACTTTGTCTGGTTTTGTTGCAAGCCTGCCCAGAGTAATAGATCTCGTCACACATAATGTTGATCAAATATGTGGTTTTTTTAAAAACTCTTTGCAGTTCAGTTTTATTCTACAAGACTTGGGCTAATAAAGAGACATTTTTGGTTACAGAGAATTGCTTGATAAGCCATCCAATTTTTTGTTGTATCAAGCGATCTAAATACATAATAAAAACCAACAATAATTGGGGCCAGATAAATGATCTTATATTAAAAGACTAACCATAGGATATATTTAAACCATTAAAATCATAATAAGTTACATGGAATTCCTTTTTTATTTAGTTACTTGTATACAGTATATAACCTTGTTACGAAGTGGCTGAAAATTTCATTCGTTCGTTGAAACAAGATTACTAATCGCGTTTCAACGAATTTTTATATGTTTTCATAATGTGTTTTAAAAGTTCGTTGAAACAAGAATTTAATTATAATTCATTGAAATAGGGTTTCAAATACAAGCACAACGGAACAGTTGCAGGATAAATTTCACATCAAAACATTTGTGTTAATGCTTATCAAAATTCTTGGGGAAAAAGGCCTTCACCCTTTTATAAATGAAGCTTAATTCACCTTTATAATTATTCGTAAATTGAGTCTTTACTACAATAATAATTAAAGGAATTTTTTTGGTTTTTTTTCAAATTGCTTTTTTTAATAAATAATTCATTATTGATAAAGAATTCTCACTATAGTGATATTATACCACACAACAAATTCCACTATTAGCGTGAATTCAATAATAGTGTATTCGTTATGAAATAAGAGAATGTAACTTTGACAAATAGAAAAAAGAATTTCGTAACATCAACTAATTTAAAAATGAAGATTTTATATAAATAGTACGTTGATTAATCGGGGAGATGGGTCTTTACTATATAGGTAATTATATTTATTAAAAAATTCATTCATTTTTTCTTCCCAAAAACAATTCTTCATTTCATTAATATATAATAACAAGTGGTAATAATTAAAATTTTGGGCTACAAAATTCTGATTGGCTGATTTGAATTTCACGCGCGTAAATTTAAAATTTACAAATTTATCACACAACACGCATGCATATATATATATTAAAGAGGTTTTACTTTTGACCGTGGTCAGGCTTGATTTGAGCTTACGAGTAATTCTAGAATGATGTAGCCTTTTGTTTCAAACTCTGGAAAGGTGTAACAACTATCAGGGAACTTGTATGATGAGAAAAGGCAATTTACATTTTACTATTACTATTGACAGGTTCGCTGCCTAGGTTTATGAGGAAAATAAATCAACTGTAAAGAATTAGGAACCTTTAAATTGAACCTTCCAATTATCATAACCCTTGATAGGAAACAGGTAATAATTACACCCGAACCGGCCTAGCTCGGAGCCGTAGTTAAAGGTAGCCAAGATTTTCTTTGATTGGCTAATATTAATATAGTTATAATCTTGTTACGACAAATCTTTCAACGAATTTTTAAAAATATCGTCACACATTATGAAATTCTTTGAAACGCGATCCATCTACTTCGTTGTAATAAGGTTATACTTTATACAGTTCTTAATGAAAATTTTGATTTTAGACTTGGCGATGATATTAGAGTTAATTACATTTTAAATTAATCATGAAATTAATCTGGTAATCAAGAATCCGTTAAATCAAAAACCCATTAGATCGAGATTCACAAAAAGATGTCATCTTGATTATTAATATTTATACTGTGTCGTTGTTGTTGATATTATTTGATCTCTTGGGAGATCATTCATTGCATTTAATATTAAAACATACCATGCGCATCATGCATCTTCCCATAAAGAAATCAAGTAAAAAATAAAATCAAATTGTAATTTTTTTTATAACCTTTATTATTATTATGATTTCCAAGAATATTTTGTAAATATTGCAGCCATGAATTATATGGAGGTGTTGCAAGGTGTGCAAATCATTCCTTAGCCCTGAGAATAATAATAATGATAATTAAACTATTTTATTGATAAAGAACAAGCTGGATTAGGTTTATTTGCAAATTCCATTTACCAGTGTGGCCTTTTCTTTCTTTATCAGAATTAATATACCGATTAAAAATTTACAGGCAAAAGCCCATTCTTCTTTTAAATTATCTGGGAGGAAAAAAACTTTACACCACTTTACTCCATAATGTACACGAAGAAGTAAAGCGAGAAGTTGATACATTGATAGAAAAGGCTGAATACTATAATTTGACTTTACAGAAAATTAAAAAAATAATGTGCATTGTGCATTAGTGCGCATGCGCATCATGCATATTATTAATATGCGCACGAAATTTTAAAAATTCCCATCTCTACTTCTATTCTTTGGTAGTATTACTTATCCATTTCTTCTTGTCTTCATACAAACCTATCACATGAAAATCAGATTTTTTTTTGAAAATGTCAAATTCAAAAAATTTTCTTTCGACTATACAAGGAATACCTAAATATTTCAAAAAAGTTTATTTTTTCCATGTTCCATCTAATTTAAAGGATATTTTAACTAGACACACTACCAGTACTTTTAGTATTAGAGTAAGAATATCTCAAAATTCCATTTTTTGTCCAAATTTACTTTTAGAAAATGATATATCATCAAGTAATAAAAATGGCTTATATAATAGTATTTTTAATGGTTTTAAATTTTTCAGAGGATCAAAAATAAAGAATGTAATTTCAGTCTTTAAAAATAAAAATGCTCACTACCACCACTACCACCACCACCACTATCACCAACGCTTTCATAAGCAACACCAAACATTCAATAATTTGTATAGTTTATTTTTAATAACATCTTTTCGCAACGCTTTCACATTATTGGCCTCAAATCACAATAATAACAATAATAGTCCATCATCATTGTCTCTAATGGATCATGAAGATTTTAAAAATACAGAATCACAAGAAATCATAAAATCAACAAATTTTATCAAAAGATTAATTGATTTTATATCAGATTATATTATTGAACCAATACTAATAACATTTAGATTTATTTATTTGTTTGGTTTATTTTTTCCATTAATCATTGGGTCACCGTTGATATTTGTTGGAAAGAGAATTCCAGAATATTACAATGAGAGAAAGGGGACATTGTATTGGTATGATATGTTAGTAAGAAGAATGGAGATTGCTGGACCAACATTTATTAAACTTGCACAATGGGCAGCTTCTAGAACTGATATTTTCCCACAAGAAATGTGCCTACGTCTTTCTAAACTTCATTCAGCAGTGTATCCTCATCCATTCGAATTTACAAAGAAAGTAATTGAAAATTTTTTCAACGAACCTCTTGAACAAGTTTTTTCAGAGTTTGATCAGATTCCAATTGGCGTTGGGGCTATTGCACAAGTATTTATACTATTCTTCGCCCAAAGGGTTGAATAATGATGATGATGATAATTTATTATTTTTATACGATAATAATATAGGTTTATAAAGCATCAATTCGACCTGAATTTTTGAAATCTAGTCAAGGTTTTGGTGATTTTAATGATTGTTCAGAGAATATAAAAATTTTTCTAAAAAAACCAACAGTAGCAATTAAAGTATTACATCCAAAAGCCGAGAAAATGATTAAAAGAGATTTAAAGATACTATTGGTATTTGCCAGGATATTTAACACAATACCTAATATGCAATGGCTATCATTTCCTGAAGAAGTGTTGAAGTTTGGTGAGATGATGCAATCCCAATTGGACTTGAGGATTGAAGCATATAATCTACTAGAATTTCAAAAAAATTTCAAGGAAAGATATGCAGTAAAGTTTCCAACTCCTTTGATCAAATATTCTACAAAAGATATGTTAATTGAGGAGTATAAAGATGCTTTACCAATTAGTTTATTTTTAGAAAATGGGTGTGGTGCTTATGGTAGCAGAATTGCTGATATGGGTAAGATTCATTAATCATCATTGCTTGTATTTATATATATATACATAGGTTGGTGTGAGTATGTGATTTTTTAAATGTATGCTGTTCATTAACATATATTTATTTATAATCAATTAATTAGGTCTCGATGCATTTCTGGTATTATTATTATTATTTGGGGGGGGGAATAATTAATTGTTTTAATATTTACACACTTGTTTATTTCATTTTTTATAATAATAATTTAGAATATGCTTATAATTGATAATTTCGTACATGCTGATTTACATCCTGGTAATATTATGGTTAGATTTTATAAGCCAAATATATATTCAATGATTTATCATGTTTGGTCAAGTCTTCTTGGAAATATTCTGAGTGAAAACAATGATAATAGCAGCAGCAGTAATTATGATGAAGAAATAAAAGATGAACAAGAATCATTGATTGTAACAAGACGATTACAAGTTGCTAGTCATGACAAAAATCAATGGTTAGAGGAATTGATAAGAATATGTAATGAAGGGTATCAACCACAAATCATATTTTTAGATACTGGACTAATAACAAGTTTGAATAAGATAAATAGACGTAATTTTTTAGATTTGTTTAATGCAATAGCAGAATTTGATGGATATAGAGCTGGTAGACTTATGATTGATAGGTGTAAGACACCTGAGTTGGTTATAGATGGGGAAATATATGCATTGAAAATGCAACATTTAGTATTGAATGTTAAAAGTAAAACCTTCAAATTGGGAAAAATAAAAATATCAGATATTTTAACAGATGTTTTAAGGATGGTAAGGAATCATCATGTGAAATTAGAAGGGGATTTTATAAATGTTATCATATCAATATTGTTACTTGAAGGCATTGGTAGACAAATAGATCCTAATATGGATTTATTAAAAAGTTCTTTACCAATTTTAAGAAAGTTGAGTGCTCAGAAAGCGAGTAAAAGAGTAATTGAGGGTATTAAAGAAACACAAAGTGATGATGATATTGGTGGTTCTATTGGTGACACTCAATGGTTAAAATTCTGGATATGGTTAGAAGCTAGAGAGTGGGTTAGTGATGTATCATGGGAGGATTATAAAGTAATGTTTGAAAGAAATATTTGGTGGCCTGACATGTAATTTTTCCTATTATTAAAATAAAGTGCAATTTCTTTCATTTATATAAAATTTTATTATAATAATATTTATAAATCTTCAGTCATATCTTAAAATTTTTTACATAAAAAAAAAATAAAAAAATAACAGATAATTAGTTACCATGTGCGTCTTTTCCACTATTATCACTTGAAGAATAATAATCAGTAACACGTTGTTAAACTGAATATTGCAATAGTATTTGAAACAATACCCATTTTACCTAAAAAACGCATTTTCTGAAGACATTTTCTAATAATTGCATCATTCCAATATTCTGGTGCAGTTCCAACATTTCCATGCCATTTTTTGCCTCTTTCTTCTGTTTTACACATAGCTATAATAATAATAAATAAAATAATCTTATTATTAACTGTATCTCGTCATTGTTCCACTTGGTGATTCTTCCGAACAAAAAGATCTAGCCATCTTGATAAATATGAAAAATAAAGTAGTATTATAATATATATTGATTAATTAATTCTTGGAAATATTTCAAATTATATAATTGATAAATTTCTAATTCCAAAATCCCAAAAAAAATAAAATGAATCCATAACCTTAACAATAGCAACGGATTTTAGTTGAAATGAGGTTTGACTGCTGCATATCAATTTAATATTTAAAAATATAGGTTTAGGAACCCGGTTGAGTCACTTTAAATTCGACCCGATTCGGATTGTTTTGAGCTTTATTCCATTTATTTTGGCTAGCAATTAATTCGTTTCTTGCCCAGGTTTAGTTTGATAATAGCCGATAGTCGATTTTTCTTTTATTGAAGGTGTAAGTTCATTTTCATCCTTGATCAGCTTTATTAAATTCTTTCTTGACTAATTGGAACAGCAGAGACATGAGAATACTTATTTGGTTTGATATTAGTCTCTATTTCGCAAGTAGTAAATAATTTGCTAACACAATCAGTTAACCGATACAAAATAAAATTTTCAATTCTACAGAATAAAATGTCTTTGGCTTCCATTTTACCGAGATTAATTTTTTCAGTTACTTGTTTGCGAGCAAGATTATTATTTAATTTATAACCAAGGATCTTTTGCAAAGTTTATATTTGAATATCTGTAAAGATGTAGAATTTTTCAGTAAGCTACAATTGAAAAAAGATTGCTAATCCATGTTGTTTTATGTACTTCTTCAAAACCACTTCTAGCCAAGTATTCAATATTATCAATCCACTATATGAGATATTGCTACAATATTTTTGCAACCATCACATTTTTTCAATAATAATAAATTCATCCATCACCTATTAATTTTAATTCATTTATTTATTAATTTAACAGAATCCATTTTTTTCAGAAATAAAAAAATATTAATGTAATAGTATAATATGATGAATAGAATGTTAGTTGATGATAAAACACACAGTGTCCAGAATTATAGAGTTTCGCAATCACGCGGGACTTCGCCATAAGTCGAAACTCGTTTTGACTTTTGACTTTTCTTTATTTTATACATATTAACCATCAGGGAAATAAATCTCATGTAAACCTACGCAGGGTTTAAAACTGACCAGCATTATGCGGAAATGTTAACAGAATTACCAAAATACCGACATAATGCTGGCCAATTCTGACCTGATGACAATCTCTAAATATATATGCTTGGGATATTTAGGTGATAGCATTTAATCAAAAACTCGTTGAGTTATCTCAAAATATTATCTACAGTCAAATCATTCTTGAAGTAAGAAAATTTCAAGTATTTATATTTATATTTACATACGTCTAAATAATTTTTCAGAAAGTTTATCACAACAAAAAAATATTATCAAAATCATTCAATTTTGCCGAAGGCCAGAAATTTTATTGTAGAATTTCTCAATTAAATGCAAAACAACTTTATTTTTTATATTAAATGACAAATTATTAAAATATAACAATATTAATATAAATTTTGACTCTTTAAATTGATGTGTAATGTTGGTTTCCATGACAATTTTCTTGTTTGTTCTTTATTTTTAAGGGTAGAACATGTGAAGACTCGTAAAAATGCTTTTTTTTTCCTCAATAAAATTCGGATTTAGTTTGAGCATAATAACAAAGTTTTGAGTGAATTGACCTTTTTTCAATCACATCACGATATAGTGGTGACATACAAATACTTTTTATATTTTAAGAAATAATATAAGTGAAAAATATTTATTTTCGATTTCGTTTTGTAAAAGATTTAATTGTACCTTTTCTCATATGAAGCACATTTTGCTTTTAGAGTTTTGAATGATTTCAAAGTTTTAAAACAGTTTTATTAAAGTTCAATCATTTGTGAATAGTTGAATAATTCTTATTCGAATAGAAACTCCAATTAAAAAATAATTTACACAAACGCAAAAAACTTTTTCTTTAAAAAAAAAAAAGTATAGATATGTTCTTTGACATTTGTTCCATAACGCAAAAAATTATATTATTTATAATACTAAAGTAAAGTACCATTTTTTTATACAAAGTGTCAATTAATAAAATTTCCTCCTCTGATTCTTTGTATTATTATATATCTCAGTTGCAACGGGGTATGACAAGCACGTGCCTAAAATGTTGAGGCCAGATGCATTGGTGCCAAATAGTGTTGGCCGTCAAAACTATTTTAAAGAGACGAAAGTCAAAACTAAAATTAAAAGTTATATATGTCAACACTAAATCAAAAATCAAAAGTCAAAACTAGTTTCGAATTATGGCGAAACCTTTTGACTTTTGCACAGTTGCAAAACTCTATAGTTTTGGGAATTAACACTAGTACCAAATAAAAAAAATACAGACACTTGGGCAATTGCACTAGTGCCTGGAATGGTACAACAGTGTCTAGAGTGATGCCAATGGTGCCAATGGTTCCCAGTATGGGCTTGCAGAACCATTGTGGAAATAAACAACAAGCGATACAAGTGTTGGCAAAAAATATATACCTCACGTATAACCACCAATCCTTATTTCCGACGCAATCCTTGCGACTAACATAATTACTGTCACTACCTCGAATACAACTGCCACCTCTGACATAGTCTCCATCAGTCAAAAAATGGAGAACTGCAACAATGATCCAGCAAAAGAGTAATTGTTGCAATGTTTAATGTTTGTATGAAAGGATTTTTATAAAGAAACTTTGTTGTCTCTAATATATTGGTCGTCTTATAGTTTTAAGTTTAAATGTAACAAGAAAAAATTGACAGTTCTATTCTCAAATGCAAAAATATTGACACAGTCTGATAAAGTGTTTCTAACCGAAAATCAAATTTTTTACGAATATTCGAAAATCGATTTATTCAAGGTTATTTGAATATATTAATATATAATTTATTTCGTAATTATTTAGATACTCGTAATTATTTTGGTTACTTAGAGGTTGGAATTGTCCAAAAAATCCTTAGTCGACTACTAGTTGGTCAAAAATTTCTTTAATCGACTAAATTTTTTTTTATAATAATAATATTTCGATTTTTTTTTTTTTTAATTTGCAAATTACCATTTGAATCTTTTCACTTTTTCAAAATGCTTCTACACAAAACCATGTGTTACGATTCGTTTTTTTAAAGATCTTCTGGAACCACCGCTTAAATCATTGGAAATGAACTATTGGACCTTGTATTGGAAGTGTTTATTCATTCTCATGTAAAATTATCATCAACAACACCACTACTATTGTCGTCATCATCATATTGATGGTATTGACACTCTTCCGCATAGAGATTTTCCATTTTGAATGATAAACACGAAAATCATAATTGGTCAGACAATAATAATATTAGCATGGTATTAGTGTTAGTATTGGTATTAGGAGTATTAGTAGTCGACTAATTAGTCGACTAAAATAGTCAACTAAATAATCGACTAAAATAGTCGACTAAATAATCAATTAAAATAGTCGATTATTAGTTGTTGAAAAAAAGTTTAGTCGACTATTTTAGTCGATTCCAACATCTATGGATGCTCGTATTATTTTGAATATAATAATTTCAAACATTGTAACAATTCATGAATGATTATCTATTGATAACAAATAGTACTTACTAACTTATTTGTAACTTATCCTATATACTACATATATTTTTACAATAATTAAAATCTTTGTTCAGAAAACATTTTCATTTAAAAAAGTAATTCTTTCAAAACCCAAATGGAATTTGCAGAAAATTTTTTTCCTAATATTTCAATTGTATAAATCTTTTTTAAATGTCATAATATTCTTACACCTGATAAAAATTTTTTTTGATTTGTATAATAATATAATTTGTTAATAATTTTTTGATATGAACAATCAAATTGATGTTGTCCAAAAGAAACTTTATCAATTAAAGAACAAGAAAAAATCAATAATAGTTTGTTAGAATTTATACAAATAATGAGCATTCAACGAGTATCCGAAATAATATTCGACATCGTCTGAAAATTATATTTATATTAATAAGTAATAAATTATCCTTTAATTATCTTAGCACATTTCAATGGATAAATTACAGAATTTTAATATAAATACAAGTGGTCTGAAAAAAACATTTTTTTAATATTAATTAAATTCTAATTTCCTTACTATTTATTATTGGTTAATTTACGAGTGTACGTCCACATTACCATTTTTGATTCTTTGGTTTCATTCATTCATTTATTTATTTTAAATCATCAACAAAAACCGTTAAAAAAAAACCAAAATTAAAAAATGGATATAGATCCCAAGCCTCTTAAAAAAACTAAAAGAACAACTAAAATGGAATATAGATATTTAGGACACAGTGGACTTAAAGTGTCGGTTATTTCTCTTGGTGGATGGGTAACTTTTGGTGGCCAAGTTGCTCCTGGTATTTAATTGATTAATGACCAAAATTAAATTTGATCTACATTTTGCATTTTAAAAATATTTACTTTCTTTCTCAAATATAATATAATAGAAACTACAAGAGAATGTATGCAAATAGCATTTGAGAATGGAGTAAATTATTTTGACACAGCTGAAGTATACGCTGGTGGGAAATCTGAATTAGATATGGGCAATGCAATCAAAATTTTGGATTGGAAACGTTCAGATTTTGTAATTTCAACAAAGATATTTTGGGGTGGAAAAGGTCCTAATGATAGAGGGTTATCTAGAAAGCATATTGTCGAAGGGCTGAATGCTTCTTTAAAAAGATTAGGTTTAGACTATGTAGATTTAGTATATGCACATCGACCAGATCCTGATACAGTAAGTTAATAATGTTGCTTAATGAAAATGATGATTAGAATTAATTAGATCAACAAGATGATGGTGTGATGATGATGATAAATCTTTTAACTCGCATGTATTTATATTTATTTTCAGCCAATGGAAGAAATAGTTAGAGCATTTAATTTTGTGATTGATCAGGGTAAAGCATATTATTGGGGAACATCTGAATGGCCAGCTGATCAAATTGTTGAAGCACATGGCATAGCAAATAGATTGGGTCTAATATCTCCATTGGTACATTAATATAGTATTATTATTACCTTTATCATTTAATAAGGAATAATCATTATAATTAAATACTTTCATTTTCTCCTTCTTCTCTTCCTCTAATATTAATTAGGTCGAACAAGTAAGTTGACAATCAATTAATGAATTGAATATTTAAATAATCAATCGACCAATCAATCATTACAACAACAATTATGATATGATCGTTATAGGTGCAATATAATATGTTTCATCGGGAAAGGGTTGAAAATGAATATCTTCATTTGTTTAAAGAATATAAAATGGGAGCAGCTACATGGTCACCACTTGCAAGCGGCATCCTAACAGGTAAACATAATAGACAAATAGCTGAAGGATCAAGACTAACTCTAAGAGAGAATGCTGTAATGCAACGTTTAAAAGAAGAACTGTTGAGCAATCAAGGGAAAACTAAACTTGAAAAGGTTGAGAATTTAAAGGTAATCTACATAATTTATTAGGATAATGTATTCTGTTTTTTCTTTTTTTTTTTTAAAAAATTTAATTTATACTTTACATGAACTTATTAGCCAATTGCTGATAGACTTAATGCTACATTGGCTCAACTTGCACTTGCATGGTAATTCTAATAATATCATAACAACTAATGATTAATAATTAATAATTAATATTATTTGGTTTTTTTCTTTCCCTCATAAAATTATCAAAGGTGTCTTAAACAATCAAATATAAACACTGTGATCACAGGTGTTTCTAAAACAGAACAAATTTATGAGAACATAAATGCAGTAGGATTAGTTTCAAAATTAACACCAGAAATCTTGGAAGAAATTGAATCAATATTGGACAACAAACCACCAATGCCATTTAATTTTAGAGATTCATAATTACCTTGTAACATTAATATCTCTAGACAAGTTGTTAAATGATTGTATTTTTATTTTACTCGTTCCCTTTAGCTAATCAATAGTTATCAATAACAACGTGTTTACACTTTATACATTTACTTTTGGAAAAAATGAAAAATAATAAAATATCATATACGAGTGTCCGAATATTATTATAAATAGAAAAAGCTTGTAAAGTTACTAGGTAGTATAATGACATGAAAATTTTCAAAATGAATGACTTAATAGAATAAATAAATATATTAAAGATAATGACTTGAGTAATTTAATATATTAGTACACTTGCTGCAATTATCATTTACTACCACCTGCTATTCCGAGTAGACTACCTTTCTTATTATTATTATATATTTATAATATAAAGTCACTAGTAATAGCATACTTAATGCTGCTAAGGGAACACTGAAACTGATAATTGTCCGAGGATTATCAACAAATATCATTTCTGTTGCAGCGTCAGCAGTTATCGTTACTGTCTTGGTAAATTCTGCTATTGTTGAGATTGCATTCTCGACTAGCTCTGCAATCTCATATACTCAAATAGAATCAATATAAATAGTGCTATTTCCAAGATAACACCTGGAGGTAAAACAAATTCTTGATCTGCTGGGATACTTTTACCAAAATCAAGTGTTTTTTGTGGTGTTTTGAACATCAAGTATTTTATGACTGTAATTCCTCCTGGTTTGCTGCCAATTCTGCCTCTTATCTCTGTTAAACCCATTACCAACAAAAATCAACTGGCTTTTGATCAAGACTTTTAGACCTTCGCCCAGCTTATTACCTTGGTGTTCATATGATGTTCCATTTTTTGTCACGCATTATAGACAAATCGGATAGTTTCTCTATTTTTAATATTAATATTAAAACATTTGAAAAAAACGGAAATTTTATGTGAGCTAAAAACTTGTATAGCTTCCCGAAATTAAGTCTATGTAACAAACTTATATTTCGAAAATAAATATAGAGATCTTTGTGATTGAAGATTAAATATAAAATGCCTACTTCAAGACAAGGAACTCAACGTCAAACTATATTACATTTATGGGATATGTGCCAAAGAAATAACCGAATAAAAAAATTGATGATTTGAATCATGCTAGAGGAAATGGTTGTCAAACTACGGAAGCCTCAAGAGCTTTAGGGCAATATATATGAGAGATTCATCAATTTCGACTAGGACATTGGCAACAAGTTATCAGTAAATCATGTACAAGTGTCTTACTCGACTATATACATGGAAAGTGGTATTAAAAGGTCTTGCTAATGGATACATCAATGCTGACAATTGCTTACAAAGAAAATCATGTATATACAATGACCCAACGACATCTTAATGACGATTGGAATGAAACATTGTTACTGACGAAACATCCTTTTATTAATTAGAAATACTGTATAACGTTCATATAAGGATAAAAGGTCAGTTCGAAGAATCTCAAAGGACCGTACCCAAATTCATGCGTGGGGTGGTTTTTGTGTAGAAGGTAAACAAGCTTTTTTTGTTTTAAACAAATCATGGATACGTCATTTTATGTGACAATACTTGACAAACACATTACAGAAATTGAAGAAATGCTTGGAGATGTATGAATTATTGTTTCAGAAGACCTAGCTTTCATATGATTATTACTTCAGGGCGTTGGTTAATAATATTATACGTCAAAATTTTCATTCAAAAATTTTATTGTTATAATTATTGCTAATAACGAGTAAACCTTATTACAACTAAATCAGGAAGATCCAAACCCTCCCTATAGCTAATTGTGGCTTCATAGAAAGTCGTCATTGCTGCTGCTGCCACCAGCTAGACATATCCTGCCATAGTTAAAATGGCAGCAGAGAGAATTGTAAAACCCATTTTTATTATACCAAAGTACTTTATAATTATATAAATTTGAGATCGTCTGTCGATCAAATAAGAATTTTTTTTTTTGGACGCGATTGATATTTTTTTTTTTGGAAAATAAGACAAGGTGTTATTTATTAATAGCGAGAGGTACACTTATTATTTTTTTTTTTAGATGTTGTAGAAAATTCTTATCAAGATAATAAACGATTATATCGTTTTGCCTTTTGATCATTAATAATGATATTAATATTTAAAATATATAATCACAAGCAAAGTCAAGGTAACATGACCGTTGCAGATGATATGTAATGTTAATTATCGGAAATTGGCTGACATCAAGCACATACATTATCTTAAACACTTTACAGTCATTCTTTTACATTCCTCATGCCCTATAAAAAAATTTTTCAGAGAATGTATGGTTTTCCATACATTTTCCGTGCATATTTTATATGGAATATGTACAGAATTATACATAAAAAGAGCGCTTTTTCGTATATATTTGCCCCGAAAATGACCTAAAAATACATTCCGTACATTTTCCGTGAATTCGTATGAATGTTAAGCACAGAAAATGTACGTAATGTAATTTTTCAGGTCATTTTCCGAAAATTCCATACATATTCCACACATTTCCAGTGCATTTTCAGGGTAAATATATACAGAGAAGCGCTCTTTTTATGTATAATTCTGCACATATTTCATACGGAGTATGCAGAAAATGTATGGAAAAACCATACATTTTCTGACTAAATTTTTTATAGGGGTGAACGTTTTATCAATTATTAAATAATCATATAGACGGGTTTGATCGAAGTAAGTGTTAGTCAGGGTCTATGAAGTTTGCAAAACGAATGTTTATCAATTATTCAATAATCATATAGGCGGGTTTGATCGAAATAAGTGTTAAAGTCAAGGTCTATGAACTTGCAAATCAAGTTTGCAAAATGAACGTTTTATCAATTATTCAATAACTATATAGGCGGGTTTGATCAAAGTAAGCGTTAAAGTCAAGATTTATGAAGTTTGCAATTCAGCTTTGGAAAATGAATGTATAGACGTGATCCAAGCATTTTAGTAATAAACAAATAATCAATTCAATTGTCAATCAATTAAGAAGTAACCGAATAATAAATTCAATTGTAAAATGCATAATGCTTTTTTTAAAAGTAAACAAATCAATGATAATAATAGTAAAAAATGTTTTTTAGCATTTTTAGTAATAAACAAACAAACAATTAATTAAACGCTTTTTTAAATCAATGGTACAATCCAAAAAAAAGCAGGACAAATGATAATAATAGTAAAAATGTTTTTAATAGAATGATGCTTTCTTTATAAACAAATCAACGTATGATCTTCATCACACTAACTAAGTATTAAACGAAAAAAGAAAGATGCTTCGCCACCACCAAAAAGTTATTCTTAGTAGCATATATGGTGAAATAAATAAATAAAAAACAATAATGAATTCAATTGTTGAAATTAAATAGCTCTTCTTAAATGTAAAATAAACAAAATTTTTTATTCTTACCAAACAGTTCTCTTCGGTTGGGAAAAAATGATATTATTATTATTGCACAATAAATGTTTATCACGTGGAAAAAAGGTATTTACATTCGTTGATCATCAAAGAAAAAAAATATATTTTACATTTAATTATTTTTCTTAGTCTCTTAGTTACTGACCGTTTGTGTCATGTGATTTTATAGTATTGTGACACCAAAAATAGCGCGCCATTAATTGACAAGGGGAAGTTTTGTTAATCCATCTAACAGCCCAGATTTGAATCCTATAGAAGTTCATGGAACATTGTTGAAAGAAAAGGATGTTGCAAAATTTATGCAAAGTGTTCCACATAGTGTCTTAATTAATTTAGTAAATTTTACGCGATGTCTTGTAATACAAAATAATGGAGAACGTATACCATATTAATTTTTATTAATAAAATCTGCCGTTTTTAAGCTTTTAAATGGCCAAGTGTTTTTTTTTTGCAATACACTGTATATTAATATAATTTATTGTTGGTTTCATTCAAAAATACATCAAACAAATTATATTTTTTTATTTATATATGATGACAAAAATCAAAATTACAGTTTATAATATTTTTATGCGACATCTTTTTAAATTTACGTTTGTATGATTATGATTATGACTATGACTATTATTATGTTATTATTTTTAAGAGCGAGAAGGAGCATAAACTTTATATTTTTACCTTATTATTCAGTTGTAAGTTTAACATGAAATTCATCAACAGTACTATAAAGCAATCCATCTGAACACATTTGTTCAACAGCATTTCTAAATAGTTGTGGAAATATTTAAATATGCATAATAATAATAATTAATATACTAATACATAATAATAAATATGCTTACACAACAATCATATCAGATCCATGTTTGTTTGATAAAGCATTTGCCATTTGATTAATATTCGTTCCAGCATGATGCTTATTGTTAGTAACAAAAGCAATTATGTCTTTGTATAATGAATTCTTTAAGTCCAGTGTACTAATATTACTAGACCTAGATTCTCTAGATTCTCTAGATTCTGGTTTAAAACTTGAAATTGTACCAAAATTATTAGTTCCTTGATTATAATTTTCTTTCAGGAGTGTGCGAGGTCCCTGGAATATATATATGTATAGTTCATACAGAAGATTATTAGAAACTTTATTCAAATCAAATAGAATATTCCATGAAAAAATAAAAGGATAAATATTTACCACATTTTTTATAAAGTACAAATGGTCAAAGACAACACGACCAATATAAGAACTGATTTCATTGAAATCAGTAACAGGTCTTATTCTTGAAGCTAACACATATCGATCCTTGTTAAGAGCTTTTAGATTTCCAAATACAGTAACATATGCATTTTCCCTACAAATATAAATGCATTAATTAGTTGAAATATATGATGTATGCGTGTATATATATATGTATAATTTTATTCTTACTTAATGTCATCATTTTTTGCATTCGTTTCATCAGCACTATCTTGCCAAATCTTCACAGAAATCAGTCCAGTACCATCCTCCATTATGTATTCAGTATTAGAAAGACGAGAGGAAACGCTAGTAATCACTGCTATAAATGTAATCTGTATCAAAATCATAACGTTTTTTTTATTAAAAATATAAAAATTATGAAAATAAATAAATGGAATGAAAATGACTTCATACTTACATATCCAATTTCATGTCCATCTACTTTAATTACACTATTATCATCACTTACTTCGGCTTGATCTAATTGTTTGATTGTAACATGTCTGAGTAATTGGGAAGCTTTATTATATGTCTAACATATACATATGCACGAAGAAAACAATTATGAATTAAAAATAGATTTATTTATTGTAAAGTATTTTTTATTGTATCTATTCTTTTAAAACTAACTTGTGATGATGTTTCATCAAGTGCACTATATGATTCATAATCTGAAGGATTAGAATTTGTGCTACCACTAGAAAATCTATTGGGGTTATTGGTAGAATTAAACTCTGGAAAACCTAAATAAGTACTTCCTAAAAAAATAAAACGCTTATTATCAGAATATCTCAGACATTTAAAATAATAATATTGTTTTAGCAATTTTTGAAATTCGTTACCTGACATTTTTGATTTTTTTTTTTGATTTTTTGAAGAAAACTCGTGTATTATTTCTTTTATTTATTTTTATAATACTCCTTTGTTACACGACTGGATTCTGATTAGATTAAAATTATTCGATTTGATTTGATTTGATTTGATCGAGATTAAATAAATAAATTTATCCGAAAATCTTTTGAAGAGAAAATTAAATTACTTTTATTATGCATTTCCTTGCTTGCCAAACGCTCTAAAATAAATAATTTTTCTTCCTCCTCTTCAGATAAAGAGAAACAAATAATAGTACTTCATGAAGCTAAAAAACAAATCATTGATATACCATGGAGTTCAAGAGGCATTTTTGAATTACTAGAAGTACTTTCACTATCTGTGGGAAGAATTGATTCCTATTTTGCATAGAAAAAAACAATAATAACAGTGATAATAATAGTAGTAGTAATAAATTGGGAGATTGGTCTATTTTGGGATCAAAAAATTGAATCTTCTATCTGGTTTTTAGCAACTGGTGACAGTTTTAGATAGATAAGTGAATTGGTGAGACAACAGTACATTTCAAATTTTTTTGGATGCAATTATTGAAAAGATTTGATAAGAGAAAATGAATTCTTAAAAAATCTAAATAAAAATTTGTACTCAATAATTATTGGTCAAATTCTTCCACTTAGTTAAACATTGAACGCACTATAAAAATGTTCCCAAATGACCAAGTATGCAGATGCATTCAGCCAAAAAAGTACATTAGGTTTAGACCCTACTCCACGAGTTGTTTTTGATTTTTCAAGTTCTTCCTTATTGTTTTCAAGAAAAGTAAGTAGAACTTTTAGTAGCTGAATCATTCCATTGAACACATTGTTTATAAATATGGGTTTTGTTGTTGAATTAACAAATTTGTTTCCAAAATGCTATTAATACCCATTTTTTTTTTATTTTTTAAAAAACACATCTAATAATATTATTGTCACTGTTATTGTTTTTTCTTTGCAAAATAGGAATCAATTCTTCACACAAACACTGAAAAGTACTTCTAGTAATTCTTGAACTCAAAATTATCAAAAGATAATGCTAACCCTGCAAGAAATCGTGTTATTTTTTACAAAAGTTTAAAATTTGATTGGTAAATCCTACTCAGAGGATAAGATCTATTTTTAATAGTAAAATAAATTTTAATCAAATCCTAAGATTAGATAAATTTTGATTGGCAAATTTATGAGGTAGTATACATTACTTTTATTTTGTCCACCAGCATTATTACAAGTAACCTTTAAATGTTTTTCACCCATCAAAAATCATGCTAAGAGTTCCATTAGGACCTTTCCTATAATTTTGTCTTCATCAAGAACATAATTAATTTGCTCCTTTACTGCTTCATCTTGGACTCAATCATAACTGTAATGAGCAGTAGCATCAATACTGCAATATAGTGTTTACTTATTAATAATTTTGATTAACTAATTTTCTTTGTTCTTCAGCTAATTTTGTATTTTTATTATGACAATGTCTTTCTAATCTGGCCTTGGACAGATGTTCCTCTTGGCAAGCATTGTAATGTAAACCATTTTTAAAATGTTGACAAGTATCACACAAATCAGTCCTGGGACTCATAATTTGAATCTCTGGTTCAATTGATGTCATAACCTTCTAAATGCATCATACTTCAAAGTCTTCAAATTACTATCTTCTCTCGGACCAGCCATAAAATCCTTGTGCACTGATTTCAGCTGGTAAGAATGTAGCTAATTGGATTATTCTATTGATACTTCTTTGTGGACTTGGTAATCCATGAACTTTAGCATAATTTTCCAAAAAATTCTTTACCACTTCAACAACACTTTTGTCAATCACCATCTTTGTTTTCCATTGAGGCAGTCTTTTAGTATTACCATGAATGAACTCTTCTAGAGGACCATGGTTTATTAGATGATTTCTGATATTTTTTACCAATCCCTAGCATATTGAGATAAGTTTCTTGTTTTTCAATGGAATTGTTATAATGTTTTGTAAAATATGGCAGATTCTGTGGATAATGTTGCCAAGAAAAAAATATAAATATGCCCATTTATTTCAAGGTATAAAAGTATGAGATATTGATATTTTAATTGAATCAAAATATTTTTAATGATCTTAAGTGCAATTAAGGTTGTGGGCGAAACCTCCTTAGTAATTGCTGAAACCATGGCAAAACTATATTAAATCTTATCAAAAATTCTGTTGAAACTATGCTGAAATGGTGAAATTCAAAATGCGAAACTCTGCCGAAACTCTAATAAACAATTAATGTGTAACCTGCCGAAACCTGCTGATTGATTTCTGGATGAGTTTTGGCAAGCAAACTTAGTATCCGCACACAGCTAGGAGCTCTCAATACTCAATTCTCTCACTAGGCCTCCATATCCACACACAGTTAGGAGCATTCCCAAAATAACTCAATTGCACAATCCTTTCTCTACAGTACTGATGCTAAGTACTGCTGGCACAAGCCTACCTAAGATAATAAAATAAAAAGAATATATACAAGAAATGTTTACAACTATACCACTTGAGATGTCCCTACAAGCAACATAGAACAATTAAGTTGGGGGTTTCCTAACTAATAATTAGTGGTCAGACCATTGACCATCAGAGAGGATCATGGACAATTCACAATGGCTTTTCTTGTTAACTTTGCAAAAATTCGTAATAAGGTAAAATGTGTTTAATTAATTATTAACAACAGGGGGGAAAAAAATTCAATTGTTATAGGTTCATATGAATGTTATTATCAATATTATCAACATCATTATTCCCACTTGGTCTAAAACCAAGCCTTTTTATACCTCTTGAGATATTACAAATAATGTGACTTTTACAATATTTTGTCCAATAATATCTATTATAGCTATCTATCTTGTATAACTCGTCAAGCAAAAGTGGCTTACTATCTCTAAGTAAATGATTAGGTCAAATGAGTAATACAATAATACACAAGTAGAAGTATAAATACGAAGATCCACAGTATAACATTACACGACATGCGGCGCAACCGTTACAATAAATATAGAAAGATGATCGTTGATCATGATGTAATATTTAGTGCATCACATGACTACCGTTCTAAGTTTGTTCCAATTGGTCAATATTAACGGGCAATTGGTTGGTTCACGGTTTACAATCTCGCAATATAAAGATAATAGATATCATTAATTATAAAAATACTTACACGAAGAAATAGTATTATTATCATTCAATGAATAAACTATTATTTTGAAGTGTTTTTATAATATGTTACCACTAATGTTTCATCTCCATTAAAAATTAAATGATCATAATCTTTATTTTCATATGAAAAAGTTGCATTGCTCCATTGAGAATATCAATGTACCAGTATTAAAATCAGTAATTCAAAGATCTTCAAATTTGTAAAAATGAATACTATATGTTGCTTTAGGAACCCATTCATTGTCTATACTATCATTGCTACTACTATTATACGTGAAGATGTATAAATTACAAGAATCTTTGGACTCATAAATAGTGTCTTGCATTATAAAATCTTTACTACTAATAAAACACCCTTTTTCAAAAGAGGCACTTTTTTACAACTAGGTATTTTAATGTATTTTTCATTTGAAAATCAAGAAATGCTAGATATTATTATTCATTATTGATTATCGTTATATAAGTTTTATAATTATTGATTATTAATATTAGTATACTTACTAAAAGATTTGTGTTCATTAGAAGACTCTCATTTATTATTAAGTAAAATCATAAATTCATCATCAGGAATATCATCTATACATAAATAAATAAATCTTTTTTGAATCTTCCAACAAACCATCCTCTATGGAAAATGTAGAAGTTTTCCTTGTTGAATTTTTCCTTTGTTTAAATCAACTGACCATCCAACCATAGATTTATCCCAAATACTGATAGTTACTAAAAATTTTGAATTGGGACTAATCTTTATGTCGGTAATCCTCAAATCATTATGTGGAGTAAATTTATCCGAATATTCTTTTTAGTATTATAGTATCAATAACTATATCTTCTAATCCCATTTTTAAAAAACAATTTTTTTTTAAAAGGACCTAGTGTTATATTTGAAATTTTTTTTTGGCACATTCGGACGGATTTGGAAGGATCGACTTTATTATTATTATTATTATTATCATTATTTTTCCGCAATTGCCAATTTAATATTAATAATAATTATTGCGGAAAAACATACGATTATTTATTAGGATTAGTATATTAATTAATTACTAATAGGCATCGTCACGACACATCACGTGGCTGCATTTATGTCAAAAAAGATAGTCCTTGACGATAGGATGTGATTAATAGCCAGGTATATGTATACATCTATATCGGATAGGATAATTGGAGTGCCTGCTACTCAAAAGATGTCTTTATTTCTATTGAATAACATTAGTATAAATTAAAAATGGGGACGATATTATAAGCAATGCTAGCTCTGATTTCAAAAATAAAGGTCTCGCTCGATTTGATAATTCAAGAGAAATTTCAAGGTCGTAAGATTGATATTTTTTGGTTCCTTTCCTTTCATTATCTTTTGAAGTTGCAGATGGCTTGTTTAATGGCGATAAACTAAAAGGGGTAAAGATGAATTCAAGTTATCAAGGGCTCTGAAAACTGGATTGAACATTTATATAATATAAAAGTTTCTAGTGAGCACGCGAAATGATTTGCTTCCTTAAAAAAGGATTTTCCTGAGGAATTCATCATGTATCTATATTATCCTTTAGGTATATATTTTATTTATTATTTTGCTGGCGTAAAAGAATAAAATCCTAATTTAGTAATTGTCTTGGCTAAAATTGACATAACATACTAATACATAACATTAATAGTTTAGTCAAATGTCTCATTAGGTAGGGTGTTGATGATCACCAATAAATATTTTTATATCACAATTACATAAGATATGTTTAAATTCAATGCAAAACTATTGAATCATTAATCATTCCTTATTATTTATGTGTGTATTTGTTACATAATAGAGATATTTTAAAAAAGAACCACCGTATTGAAATATTAAGAAATAAATCTTATAAATAGATAATGAATGAAGTTTAATTAAATTATATTGTTGGTCAGTTATTATTTATTGAAGTCATTATTGTATGACTGATGGATATAAAAAGAAGAAATGGAAAGTATGCCATTAATGACATTAATGGTAATGATAATATGTATACATGCATTATTTTCCTTTGTATGTCAAGGAGGAAGGAATATGAAAATAAAATTACAAAAGACAACACTTGTCAAAATAGACTCGTTACAAGAAATATTAAATTTATTCTCGTGGGGAGAGGACAGACATTCATCTGATGTAATAAATATATATTAATATATATATATATATAAATAAGCAAGTATACATGTTTCTTTATAAAATGATAACATGTGGAATTAATTTTAATTTTTGTTTTTGTTTGTCTTGAAAGCCACGAGAAAACCCCACAATCAAAAAAAAAAAAATAATACTTTCTTTATCTTCTCTTTCATTGAGAGTCTGTGCGATAGTTCCCGGTTCACATGCTCCAGATCAAAAAAAAATATTTGTGCTAAAAATAGAAATAATTATTAAATGAATGCATGCGTACAATTAAAAAATAAATGCGATTCATTTTTTGTGTGAAATTTTTTGGTGTACTAGAAAAGTTCCCGAGTTAAAAAATGAAAACGAAAATTTGAATGCAAAAAGATCTAGAAAATTACTAAAACAGCATGTCGTGTTACAACGATCTCTGTCTTCTAAAATTGTCTATTCTTATTATATGCAATAATGCAAGCATTTATATATATGCAAGTGCGGGTATAACGTTTAATTAATTAGAAGAATTGAATGAAATTTTTTTAAAGTTTTAAAAAAAGATACATTTTATGCTGAAAATTTTTTTATTTTGCTACTGGGACCTCTTGTATTGTGGCTGGTTAAAAAAATGAAAACGTGGCAAGCCTATTAGCTTTTTTAGGAATATTATTTTTTTCAATAGATAAAACAAACAACATATTGTTTACTATTATTTACTATTATTATAAATCAAGAAAATATGTTTTAGCTAATTATATGCCACTTACCTAACACTAAGCTGTACAAAATTTGATCCTACTGTTTTGACACACACATCACATGCCAAAAAAAACAAAAATCACACGAATATCGAACCATATCAAAAATTTTCTAGATGACAACTAATGACATGACAATACCAAAACAATGGAGATTAATTTTAATTGACCAAATTAGACAATACCCGATCCATTATTTTCTATTATAATGTATAATAAATTTAATTGTTTGATTTCTTTGGCTGTTATTATTTTAGAAAATAAATTTATTGTTGTTATGAATGGTTTAGACTCATTTGTTATTATTGGATGATATTTGGAAATGTGTGGCGATATCAAAAAAAAAAATATTATTACCAACAATATTCCGTGTCACAATCTATACAACACACCGCCCTTCTCTTGAAAGTTACCTGGTTATGATAATTTATCAACTAATCATAGAGAACAAACAAATAAAAGGAAATAATTTCTTATTGCTATGTATTAAAAAAAAAAAAAAAAAAAAATGAATTTTATTTTATTTAAACTGTTTATTGCTGATCATTTCTTTAAAAACTAACAAACAGCGATCTCGATTTTTTGTTATATATATATATATATTGTAAGTATATAATAATGAAATAAACTTTTATTATTTATTTATACTTTTTCATAATACAATTTTTTTATATTATTATTATTATTGTTGTAATAGTAATTTGTTTATTTTTATCTAGAAAATTTTAATATATAAAGTCCTTCCTTTCCGTTTTTTTTTTTTTTGGAAAATTAATTTCATCAACGAAAAATATTTTATTTATACAAAAATTTAAAACCTAAAATGACGAAATCGAATTTAAAATCAAATTCATCCTCTCCCTCCTCTTCATTCACCTCCTCTTCCGCCCTCTCGTTATCATCAAGAAAAATTAATACTTTAAATATTCTAATTAATTATAATGATGATAACAATCATAATAATAACGTATTTCAATCTTTTATAAATTCAGCACCATCATCACCATCCTCCCTTAATCATCTATTATTAAATCAAAAAAATTGTCCATCATCATCTTCAAATGAATCGGCTTACATTTCATTTCCTGAATACGAAACATTTGATCCAATTAATAATAATAATAATAATAATAATAATGATAAAAATAAAATCATCGATCATGATAATTTAATATTACAAATGGAACAATTTGATGAAATGCTAGTAAATGGGATTAAGGTTTCTCACGCATTGCTGAATTATTAAAAATAATCAATGAATAATGACATTTATATTTATAATTAAATATATATAATGAGTTTAATGAATTTAATGAATTTAATGAATTTATGTTTCTACATTTTTCTTAATGACATTTATTTCGTCAAATATAATTTTTCAAAAAAACAAAAATCGTAACTACTATTTCTTATATTATAATTACTACAAAGTATTATTACTCGATATTTTTTCAAAAACAATCTATTTTTTTTTTTTTTTATATATAAATTTTCACATGGTTTTTACTTGTTTCAACTCGAACGAATAATCGATAAGCCGATCTACTTTATTTGGAAATGGAAGAAACAAAAGAAATTCGTTTTTTTGTTGTATATATAAATAAACTTTTGCGAAAAAATTTTATTTTTTTTGTTAACGAGAATCGTATGTAACACACGACTATCAGACATGACTACGGATTATTAATATTATATTTGAACATATCATTATTATTTCATTTTATTTAATTGTTCACTTCGCTGTGTTGTTGTTGTATAATTAAGTTGTCATTATAATTACCTTTTTTTTTTATAATGGTTTTTTGTAAATATAAATCCTTAAGATTTTTGTATATTTTTTATAAGCTTTGTTAGTTAAATTAAAAATTAAAATTAAAATTAATAAAATCCAAATTAAGAATTAGATTAGATTAATATATCTAAACTAAGGTTTTTAAAAAACATCCATTGAATACACTTTTGGGTCATTCATGATACGATAAAAGGTTAATCAGTAAAGTTTATCTATTATATTTTACTAGTATTTCTTAATAACCATATGGTTAAAAATTGGCCTTGATAAAAAATGTGTTATAAAATTTGCTAATATTAACATCCTCAACTTGAAAAGACCATGCAAAAGAAATCTGAATCAACAAGTTAAACAACTTCTTGTATGTCAACAACAACTTTTTAATTGTTAACTGCGCTCCTTGGAATAAAGTATTCGGATGCACTTTTTTAATGATTGTACAAAATTTTTAGAAGAAATTGTAGCCTAGGTTCTCGCAAATAGGTATTTTTTTACAACTTTTACGCAATAATCTCTTCTTCCACAAGATCACTCGATTTATTTATTTTACCTGATTAATAATCAAATTATTTTGGCAAAGATGGTTACAACAACATTGAAAATTTTTAATTTTAAAGATAACAACCATTTTTACCAAAAAAAAAAAAAAAAAATTTCTTCGAAAAAGTCATTTACATGCTTGATTTATTTTTTATTTATTTATCTGTTGTATTTATATATATATATATATATATATATATATATATATATATACTTGTGCTTTAATTAATCCTCCTACTTTTTGAATAATTATTGACAAATGATGTAAATGGCGAAACATAAAACTACTAAGCATTAGTGTTTAACACGAGAAAATTTTTTTTGGTCTTGAATTTCTCTTTTGAGTCATGCAGTAGTCATTATGCACTACAACAAAATCAGTAACAAAAGCAGCTATTCATGTGCATATTATTTATTTTTAGAATTTTAAAGAATGACAAGAACTTTTGAATCTCTCTAATAATAATAATAATAGTAATAATAATAGTACAAGAAGATCATTAATAATAATAATTAATAAATAAACAATGAATAATAATCTATATAATCTATTGATGCCATGAAATATGAATGATTAATGGATGAATGCGACGAATGTGATGAGTGTGATGAATGGATGAGTGTGATATTAATGGATGTTTGATATGGATGAGTGTAATAATAATATACATATATAATTATTTTTTCCCTTACTTTTTATAAATAAATACTTTTTTTTTTTACTTTTTTCTTTTAATTTTAATTCTGATACAATCGTCTTGTGAGCCACGTTTTGCAATTGGCATTATCACAGGTTGATGAGAGAATGATGAGACTATAGTACAAATTCTATAATCACCGGGTGATAAACCTTTTGCTTTAACTGACAAAATCCCATTATCATCTGGTTGATCCAATCCTTTAAAGAATGCGACATCTCTTGCATCAGGTAAATTATTACCATCAAGTTTTTGTATGGTAATGTGAGAATGTCCTTTGATCATGCCGTTTTTCAGTTGTTGAGGTTTGACATAATATTGCTTAATTGGATCGGTGAAGAAACCTGTTATTAAATTTGAAGTTTTTGTTCTAATTCTAAATGATTGGTGTGCCTTTATTGTTTGACCATTCATTGGCTCTATTATTAATGTTGATGGCATGTGATCGACAGATGGAATTTCTCCTTGGATTGTTTGTGAACAAGAGCCTTGACGAACTTGTTTACCATTTGTTGCCTTTTTGTTTTTACATAAATTCTTGTTAAGATTTTTATCGTTGTTGTTTTTCATTGGAGCTCCAGAGACCATTATTATAGAAGAAATTGCAATTAAAAGAACAATTAACAATGAGTGTATTTTCATTTTTAACAATATTTGGATCAAAAGAATATTTGAATTAGAAATGCGATAGAATCGAATTAAATTAATTTGAATTGCACCAGGCAATAAATAAAGTAAGATTTTAATTAGTAAGGGAAGAAGTAATTAATTATTAGGATTATAAAAGATTATTATTATTATTATCTATCTATTATTATTACTATTCTATTTCTACTTTTACTATTACTACTATTACTACTACTACTACTACTATTATTATTATTATTACTATTATTAAAAATAAAAATTATTATTACTTTTGTTTTCAAGAGAGAGATAAAGAGGACGGCAAAACATTTTCGACATTATTTATACATGGGAAAAAAAATTTTTAACTTTATTTGAGTGAAAAAGGGTTTCTTTGTCGAATAAATTTAAAAATATATGAAACATATATATGATAATCAAAATTTTTTTTTATTATAAATTTTTGTTACAAAAAAAAAAAAATAAATTAAAAATTTACTAATTAGGAAATTTCGCGTATTCATTTCTTCTTTTAGAATGCCATAATAATAATGGAAGATAAATGTGTAATCTAATTTCATAATAATAATAATAATAAGGGTTTGTCAATTATTGTATCATTATTTTACTATTTTGGAATTTTATTTGATTCATTGTTAAATTTTCTTTATATTTTACAATCTAATTTATTAAATGAAAACAAATAAAAAAAAAATAGCAGACAATAGAAATAAAGACTTCTAAAAACTCGAATTAAAAGTATTTTAAAACCATTAATATTAATATTAGTATCAGTATATTTTAACATTTTCTCTTATTATTAACATTTTCACTGTTACCATCAACATTCATTATTTTTATTATTATCATCGTCTTCTTTCATTATTGACAAATGTTCCTTCCATTGTTGGTCCTTTTCTTTATCCAGTTCATCCAACATTCCTTGTGCAATCTTTACAATTTCTTTCCTCCGTTCTCTTATCAAATCAGATCCATCACTGTATATCTTATCCAATTTTTCTAAAGTTTTAAGTATTAAATCTTCCACCATTAAAAACATTTTGTTTTCTTTTGTAATTGGTAAGATTTGTTTCTTCTTATTATCATCTTTATCATTGATACGGAATGTTAATTGACCAATTTTATTGTCATATTTTGATTGAATATTTAATAATTGTTGTTGAATTGATTTCAATTCTAAAAGTTTTTTAAGAATTACTTTTGTATTTTTATTTTGTTGGCTTTGATTAATAAATTTATAAATTTTATTTGCTGCTACTTTTTGTTGTGAAGACGATGACGATGATGGTAATGAAGAATTTGTGTTGGAATTGGAATTGGATGAATTCATTTTCTCCTTTTCTTTTTCTTCTTTTTGTTTTTCTTTTTCCTCTCTTTCTTTTTGTTTTTCTTTTTCTTTGATTTCTTCAGGTGTCATAACTTTAATTTTTCTACTTTTTGCAATTTTTTCTGGTTCGAATAATTTAATATTTCCTTTGTGATATTGTGTATCATTATCATGATCATAATAATTATAATTACTATTGATGTGACGTGGATTGTTATTATAGAAGCCATTATAATAAGGTCTATGATTATAGCTATTATTATAATAACCGCTACTATTATTATTTCTTGGGTGGATATAATAGTTTCTACCATCTCCATATCTGTTACTAGGATGTAACTGATTTGGATAAGGATTTATTTCATCGTAATTGTAACCGTAAAGTGATGATGGAAACATTTTTAGTTTTTTTTTAAAAAAAAAATTTTTGTTTTTATTTATTTTATTTCAGTTGATTTTTTAAGATAATTGCTGATTTTTTTTGATTCAATTTATAATAACTTGAATAACTTCTACCGATTGCACGAAATTGCTAGAATATGTTTGTCATTAGTGTAACCCAGAGAATTACTAATGTGTACCGTAATACGTCAGCTGACTTTTACATTTTTAATTTTAGTAAAGTTACACGATACTTTAAATAAATTTTTTTATAGATGGATAATTAAATACTTACTGTTATATTTTAATAATAGCCAGAGTTTGAAATAATCACTCACAGACTAAAAGTAAATGAGAGTTAAAAAAGAGAAATTTCATTAGAAACCTTATTCTTGTAATTTTACATAAAAATAAGAATAAATAGTAGCCTCAAAGACCTTTTTTTACAATCAGATCTCAAAAATATGTCAGTTAGAAATCTTGTTACACGAAACTTCTTATTAATATTAATAATAACAGGAATATGCTCTTATCTAAATTTAATTTAAAAATACTTTTTTATTAAATTATATTGTATTTTTAGATTAAAAATGCAACGTATATTCGGTTATAATATTCGAAAAACCGGTTTATTTCGGGCAACCGAATTTAATATTAGTCAAACCGGTTGAACCGGTTTGATACTAAGTACTCTTTTCTTTGATATCCTTTAAAAATGATTTTTCCATTTTATCTCAACTCGCACAAAATATTTGTCAGTTCCTGCAGCCTCTAGCGAGAGATTGTTTTCGGATGCTAGTAACCATATTTCTGCAAAACGTGCTTTATTATTCCCGGATTTGGCTAATCAGGTTTTGTTTTTAAAAAGAAAATAGTGGGTCTTCTTAAAAATTAACACGAGTTAAATTTTCATGTAACCTTAAAAAAAAAAAAATCGTAAATTCGATTATTCCAGTTAAAAGCTATCGAACTACGTTGGAATTTTTTAAATAAGTTTGATGCAACAAGATTGTATTACATATAAATTTTTTGAAATTGATCCTCCTATAATGCCAGCCCAACTTTGTGAATCAATTTAAAAAAAAAAATTTCTCTTGTCAAATTTTTCTTCTAGTAAAATCTTAAAAAAGAATTCAGCACTTAAAAACATTGCTAAAATTTCTGTACGGTCAAACAAAAGAAAACTAGGAGATAATGAAATTGAGTGAGAAATTAATCATTATTTAATTTGAAAGTATAAATAAATATTTCTTTTTTAGGGACAATAGTGATTCTGCTAATTCTGAAGAAGACTTTGAAGAAATGGATCCATATTTTGATGAAGAATTTGAAAATATGAAAAATTATAAGGCCAAAAGGCTATTAATCTATCAAGAGCACACACATAAGTCAAATTTTTGTCACGTGATCTGCAGATTTACAAATGAAATTTGACCACCCTTTCCATATTATTACAGTCAGGGAATATGTTAAATTTGAAAATCAATTCTAGAATAATTAGAATCCTTTTTATCAATCAATTCATATATGTTTAATGTGATACTTCTATGCATGTTAAAAAAAAAGTCCTATAATAGTTGAAATAAATTCTTCTGAATATATTCTCCAAGGATCACTATAAAATTTACAAGATAAAAGAAGCCATTAGTTAAAGAAAATATCTTTTTTTTTGTAACTTTATAAAAATTCTTCTTAATAACCATAGGAATAAATAGAATAAGCTTCTAGTTTCAGAATCAACTAAGATCTTTTCATCATAAGTTCTGGATCTCAAATGTATTAGTTTAAAAAGAGTAATTTTGTTAACTAACTTTACAAAATTCCTTATTAATAGTAACCATAGGGATATAGAACAAACTTTTATTTGCTCATTAATGAATATGGCATAAGTTTGCTTTTATCTAAATTTACAAATGTTTACATGTAAGAATTAAGATTATTTTTTTATTCAATAATTTACTTATGTATATTAAATTTATATATTTATTGTTTTATGAATTATTATGAATGTTGTATTAATTTTTATGTATGTATATATTCAATGGGTAAAATGAATTATTTAGCCATAGTGATAATCAGAGAGCATAAATAATATTAATTGATTATTTTTATTATCAATCTTTTTGGATTAAATGAAAATCAATAATATCAATGAATTGCAGGTAAAGGAGAACATTATTGAATTTGTTTATTATATTTAATGGATAAAAGGTATAATTTGGTTGGTTGTAATTACAAATACATATAATATTAATTGATTATCTTTTCATTTTTATTAAATAACTATTATGGAAAATTGAATATATAACTAGGCTTTCAAAAATAATTATTAATTAAATATCTTACACTTTGTTAGATCTTTTTTTATTTGGGATATTAAAATTATCTATTAGGATGATAAATTACAAAAACATCATCCTTGTATTGCTTAATCCTATAATTTGGAAGTTATATGGCCAGTTAATAAAGCTTCACATGATTTTCTTGTTTTTCTTTTTTATTCAATGAAAGGAACTGCACAAATTTGGTCAATCAAATTTCTTCTAAAGAAATTCCAAAACATTTATCATTTATAAATTAGGAAATACCAAATTTAGCATATTCCCTGACTGTGATTAATAAAAGATAAACTTCAACTTGGAAAAAAAAATATTAATATTAATATATAAAGTGGATATATTACTGTGACACACACACATGGTGGAAGTTTGATTTTATTGGATATAAAATGTGACAAAATAAAAATTTAGGTTTTTACCAAAATTAGAAAATTTTAGAGAAAATCAAGATTTATATGGAATGTGCAACATTGATCCAGTGTTGGAAATTCAATGCCCGCGTGTAACATTACACACCAATCAAATTTTTAATTTTTGGAGATAGTTTCTAAATTTGTACTAGTTACACAACGAAATT